ACAAGGCCCTTTGAGGAATGGGATTTAGGAGCTTTACTCCAGTCACAGAGGCACATGTTATGGAATTGGAGGATCTGGACTTGGCTGCAAATGATGCAGTTGCTTTGGGGAAGTTTAGAGTCACTGTTTCCCATGTGATCACTGGTATCAGGTTATTTTAATTCAAAGTATATCAGGTCATTTAAATTCAAATATCTCTTAAATATGCCACACTTTTGCAAAAACTGCACATATAATAGGGGCTCAAAAGTAAGACTATCTAATTTTAACATGAGTGACTGCTAGACGATCAGTGGATGCCAAAATTGATGCCAGAGGATGCTTTGGGCACCCCGAATACAGTAAGTACCTGTTTCATGCTTTGGAAGCTGCTAGAAACCAGCCAGACCAGCAGTACATGTGTAGCTTTCACATTTGTGTATAGTTACCTGAACGAGTATGACTTTCATACTCATTAAACAATCTGAGCTTTCACTGAATGCTCTCAGTTTTAGTAGCTGTGCTCATCTAGGCAAAAAGACAAGGTTACACAAATACCTGGGTAGTTAATAATGTCAATACGAAATAGGCAAAATTTTCAGCATGGGAGGTATTGATATCCATAGCCAGGCATTTCTTTTTTTGGGGGGTTTTAAATAATTTCTCTTTTCAAGTTCTCTTCCCTGTTATCTGCCTCAGAATCACTTTAATACTCTTAATTTTTTATGATTTGGAAAATGTATCATGCCACGTAACTATTAAAGTTGCAACCAATGTGTGTCACTGCATGAGTCTACATGAGACGCTTTAATGTGCAGTAAGCATGCACACTTACTATGCAGTAAACTGCTCTAATAATAAATTTGCTACCTGCAAATGCAAGTAGCAAATTTGCTTGCAGTTTGTTACTGTGCAGTAGCACTCGTGTAGACAACTGATTGGGAGCAAATCTGCCCCCAGGAGCTGCCTGCTGCCAGGTTGGGCTCTGCCACTGGAGCCTGGGTGGGGACTGTATCCTCCTGCCCCAGCAGCAGGGAGCTCCAAGCCCTCCTCCAAGACTGTAATTAGGGAGTGGGTGCTGGGAGTGGGGCTGGGAGATTCTTCTCTCCAGCCTGTTTTCCACCCAGCTCTGTGATCACGGAGCTGGGTAGGGAACAGGCTCTTCAGCACCTGCCCTGTGATCATGGAGCGGGGGCTGGGAACTGTCCCAGTCCCAAGCCCCGGTTGAGCAATCAAGGTGCGGGGCTTGGAAAGAGCTGTGGGGTAGGAGGGCAAGTCCCAGCCCCCTGCCCCAATCTGATGATGGGGCATCTGGCAGCAAGCCCGGCTGGATGGGAATTTTCCACCCAGCCAGGGGCTTGCTGCTAGGTGCCCGACTGGTGGATCGGGGCTGGAGGCTGGGACCTGCTCTTCCCCTGCAGCTCTTTCCAAGTCCCCTGCCCCCAATCGGGGAGCCAAGACCAGGAGCTCCCTGCTACTGGGGCAGGGGGACATTTGTCCCTGCCCCGGCAGCAGGCAGCCCCCCAGGGGCAATGTCCCAGCCCTGGCCAGGAGGCAGCTGTCTCCTGGCCCAGTGCTCCCTGGCAGCCCCTAGGCTAGCACCCAGGCAGAGCCTAGAGCTCCCCCTGGTGGTAGAAGGGACCCACTGCAGGGCCCCAGGAAGCAGGAACAGTTTGCTGCCATTAGCAGCAAATCTGCTTCTGCTTTCCTGCACGTGTGGATGCTTGTTTAGGAACATTTACTCATGAGTAGTTTACTTGTGAGTAAAGTGCTCCCAGATCTAATGCATGTGTAGACACACCCACTATTTCTTAAATTAATGAATTCTAGTTACAGCATGTAAAACCCCACTTCCAAATTTTTATTTTATTTCTCACTTGCCCCAAAAGCTCGGTATCTGGCAGACTAATTTCCTCAGTTTTTTTGGCCCCTGTCTCCATTTGGTAGCTTGAGACAAGGGCTGCTGGCACTTTTCTGAAAATATCTGTAGTAAAACTCAGCAGAATTACTATTCAGAAAGTCAGTCAGAGCCTGGGAAAGAAGCGGGTGGAAGGCTTGCACAAACCACATGTACCATGTAGTGGGAGAAGAGCTAAACTAAGAAAATAGAGTGCACTGATTTTGCAATGGCAAGTGTGGGAGGACCTGTTCCCTAACATGTCTTAGCCCACTGGCGGAAGCTGCTTCCTTTCTCAGGTTGCAGTGACTACTACAAGGTCCTTCTGTTCATTGACAGCATCAGCAGCTCCCTTCCTATGCTTTGTCTGCAACTTTGCTCTGCTCCCTTCTTGTTGGTCTCCTTTGATGTCTTTGGAGGAGTTAGGAAAGGGAGCATGGGAGATATCCACTACTACAAGTAATTGCCTTCTTGCATCCTGATGCTACTCTGAGGTGTGCTACAGTCATCACCAAGTCTGAGTCCCACTGAGCCTTTTTTAAAACAAAAACCAAAAACAGCGCCCCCACCATCACCTGGGTATTTCAGTGACAGACAGCACACAATCAGAACTGATAAGTTTCTAAGGAAGTGAGGGGATTTTAACACTTTTTAAAGTTGATCTGAGCAAAACTGTCCCTCTCTCAACTGCTGCTCTTGAAAGCACTACATTAAATTCTGATGCCCCACCACCCCCAGCAGTATAACAGGTGCAAGAGTCACACCTGCTCAGCTGTGTAATCAGGAGTACACACAGGAAATAAAATGATTCTGCCCAGGGCTCTGACTTGATGACAGAAGTTTCAGAAGGGCAAAAGAGACTTGTCATTAGAGAGTAACCTTTGCAATTTAAAAATCCTATCTGAGGTTGAATTTTTAACCTACTGTTTTCTTAAGTCACTCCTAGGGCTAATACAAATGAAAGAGGTTAGGCAGAGGGAAAATCTCCATGTTTCCTAGTTTTCTCTTTTGCATTTGATGGAACTTTGGGAACATTTTTTACAGATACTGAGGTACCAGCAGGTGCCTAGGAAAACAAAGGTGTGGTGGCAGAGTGGTTAAAGCATCTTCCTGTGGTTATTGAAGTATGAGTTTGACCCCCACTCTGGACTTTTGCCAAAGGTCATCCTCAGCTGACCTAGTTGTAAATGGGTATTTGGTCATTTGGGTCAAAGGTGGCCAGATGTGATGCTAGCTCCATCACTTCCCAGTGTGCTGTTGCTACAGACATTAGTGTGCCATAACCATGTTAACCTAATGGGCTGCTAGGCTTAGGTGGACCTTTGACCTCTTACTGAAATCAATAGCCTAACTACCATCAATATTTTTGCCCTTCACGACTGGAATTTTACTGGGTAACTGCAGGATCAGCCCGATTCCGTAAGCTTATCCAGGATAAGCTCCAGGATGGAGCTACTTGATGAAGTCTTATTTTCCTGGATTTGGTTATTCAGAGTAGTTTGTAGAATAATAGCCAGATGATGACAGTATACATTGTTTGCTTGGGCTTCTTACACAGCAAGCCAATGCTTGAGCAAGAAAATATAATTATAAACCCACAAAAACTATCAGGGGTACTTAGGGGCAGATACAATACCCGAAGGTACTTTTTTTACCTTTTCTCTTTGAGTTGACTAACTTCCTACTGGAATGGCTCATTAATATCTTCTAGGCTTAAAATGATATGTTAACATCTTGTATATACTATAATATATACAATTAGTACTTATGAAAGGTGGCAGACTCCCAGTACTGGAAAACTGAAGCCTTCCATATTCATCTGCAAATAAATGCAGGATAGCCTTAATTTAGAGCCAATAATTTCTCTCATCCTGCAGTGTGTTTCATGTGGACAGAACCCTGCCCCCAGACAGAACCCTGCCCCCACAGAGAGTTTATTGAATGATCCTTACTTTCTAGGAGAATTTAGCCTCCCTGTCCACAGTTTTCTGATACTGCCAACTAAAGGGGCATATGTGTGTGTGAGTGTATGTGAGAGAGAGAGAGAGAGAGAGAGAGAGAGAAATACCTATACTCCAAGAACTGGACTGAGACAGCAAAGCAGCTGTCACATTTAAGTACTTTCTGTCACTACCAGTGACTTTAAGGTGAAAAGCTTCATATCACATTACCAATTTGCTGAAGCCTATGGACTGTTTTTTACACTTCAGTTCAACAGTGGAATCGACACACAGCCTGACTGCCATAATAAAATAACAGTGGAAATGCAGTTCTTGCTTTTAGTTTACGAATTAATCTGCATGTCAGTTTTAAGGAATCATAATGGTATTCTACATCAGAGCATACACCATGTGTTGGCAGTGGTCCCTCCCTACATTCAGCAATCCACCCACTTTTGGTTGGGAAATGCTGATTTTACCACCTACCTACTGTTAATATGATTTTGATTAACACTTAATACAAATCTTCAAACCCTGTAAGAAACACATATACAGCCTTCCAATAACATTTAGCCCATTAAGAATGGCCATTGCTCAGTGATGATGCACTTTGGTCTAAATTGCTACGAAAGCCAAACTCTCCCTTCCTACCAGACATTAGTTTTAAAAGAGGGGGGGGAAAATAATTTTCAAATATAAATATCAGCCTCATTGTAGTAAAACCCTGGATGTTTGAGGGCTTGGTAAATTTGGTGTCCAATAAGATGGCTCAAACCAGATCAGGCAAACAGGCACATTCATTCGACTGAGACATGCAAATCTTTCATTCACTTTAGACTAAACCGAAGCATCAGTTAATTAGCATGGGGGTAGTGGAAGGGACACCGTCCATATTCACTCCAACTTCTCTGTAGGTATCATCCTCCCTACCGGGCACCTCTAAAGTACAGAACAAGGAACCAGAGCATACAGATATTCCCCTCCAACCACAAAGTTCATGCCCCCACAGCCCCAGATCCCCTGCTAACAAACTTAGGAGAGTTAAGAAGGCGAGATGAGTATTTTATGAGTCCCTACAAGTGCTTAAACCAGTGTGTCCCTCCGCCCCACGCCAGGAAAGCCAGGCGCGAATGATCCCCAAAGCTCCCAGGAGCGAGTGCAGGGAGAGAGCTGGCGCAACTTACCCGGCGTAGCGGTTGTTGTAGAGGTAGGCTTGCACTGGCACCCAGGTTTTCAGGACGAACAGACAAAGAGGCAGCAGAGCTGCTACCCGGCTACCGGGATTCCCCGGGAGTTTCATGGTGCAAGGGGCAAGGGATGGAGAGCGAGCCCCGCCGCAGCCGCCGCCCCGTCTCCAGGTGGCAGCTCCCCCGCGCGCACAAAGACGACC